TGGCAGTGGCAAGATCTTGCACTCCTCGCCTCCTAAGCTCGGTCTTTGCCCAATGTTGAAGCCCATCCATGAAGTTGAAGAGAGCATCCTTATCTGATATATCTGGGATTTCAAGAACTAGACTTGTGAACTCTTTGATGTAGCCTTGAATCAAACCTTCTTGCTTGAGCCTTCGTAGCCGGGCTCGAGCCTCATCTTCAGCATTCTCGGGATAAAACTGTTTCTTCAAGTCACTTGTCACATTCTCTGATACCAACTGTCACGGACTAACTTTCGTCAAGTCACCCGTGCGGCTTTAGCGCTCTCTCTTAGCACTAAATCAGCCTAATCACTCACAACACTGGACTTAGCAGCCCCAAGCACTCTTAAGAAGAAGAATAGAGAGAAAGGAATAATTAGCACTTGAATACTAGAATGCTTTGATTCAATGCTTGGGTAAATACAAATGAGGGGAGGAGCTCCTATTTATAGCCTCCTCCATGCCTTTGGCCTTTCATCTAGCCAATGTGGGACTATACAATGTCCAAGAGAAGCTTCTAGATTACAATATAATATTCTATCTCTTAGACTATTCTAATGTACATAAATAACTCTAGAACATTCTAGGTTATTCTTAGATCCTCTTTAGAGCTTTTCCTTCTTGCTCTCCCCTGAACGTGGTGGAATCTTCTAGAGCCCCTTTGATGACTCCTCATATTCGGACCTTCTCTAGAGTCTTCCATCCTCTGTTCGTCTCGATGATTTCTCGAATGTCGCGGAGCGTGACCGCCTGCTATATTCTATTAGGTAGGCTTTGACAATTTGATCGCAAAACTCAACACGACAGGTTCAAAAATTCTTATTCATTCAAGAAGGATGAAAAACATATATTTTTACTTCTTGCTAAGGATGCTAACAGGCTGGAGCGATACCGAGGCAGCATTAGCTCCTTGTATCACATTCCTGTAGTCGGTTAGAAATGCCCTTGTAACACTAGAAGGAAGCAATGAAGAAAGAGAGGTACCATCAATATTGCAACCATTGATATAGGACTTTCAGGATATTTTGACCGACAACTTACCAAAGGGACATTCAACATAGCACCGACCTTATACCGAGATCCATATTGCCAAATTGATTAGCCTACAGATTAAGACCTGTGGAGTATGAAGAACTAAAATGGCAAGTGCAACAGGTACCATCAATACTGCAAGCATTGATATAGGACTTTCAGGATATTTTGACCGACAACTTACCAAAGGGACATTCAACATAGCACCGACCTTATACCGAGATCCATATTGCCAAACTGATTAGCCTACAGATTAAGACCTGTGGAGTATGAAGAACTAAAATGGCAAGTGCAACAGGTACCATCAATACTGCAAGCATTGATATAGGACTTTCAGGATATTTTGACCGACAACTTACCAAAGGGACATTCAACATAGCATCGACCTTATACCGAGATCCATATTGCCAAACTGATTAGCCTACAGATTAAGACCTGTGGAGTATGAAGAACTAAAATGGCAAGTGCAAGACCTCATTACAAGGGGTTAGTCAGAGAAAACACCAGCCCGTGTGTAGTCCCGACCCTGATGGTCCCCAAAAAGGCTGAATCGTGGAGAATGTGCATTGACAGCTAAGCTATCAACAAGATTTCCGTTAAGTGCAGATTTCCTATACCCCGTTTGGATGATCTTTTAAAACAGCTTCATGAAGCCGCTATCTTCTCCAAGATATTCTTGCGCAGCAGATATCAACAGATACATATGTGCCCAGGGGACAAGTGAAAGACCGCCTTCAAGGCGCGGGATGGACTTTATGTGTGGACTGTTATGCCTTTCGGTCTGTCGAACGCATCTAGCAATTTCATGTGGCTAATGAACCAAATTTTCCGACCTCACATTAGAATGTTTGTCGTCTATTTTGACGACATTTTAGTATACCTGGTCAGAGAAAGATCCCTTACATTGTTTGAAGGCAGTATTCGAGGTACTTCGAGCCGAACAACTATATGCCTATCCGAAGAAATGTCACTTAATGGCAAACCAAGTATGGTTTATGGGTTACATTGTCTAGTGTAGGCATTCAGATGGATCCTATAAAAATAGAAGCCATTGTCAACTGGGCTGCACCAAAATCATTCATCGAACTGAGGTAATTCTTGTGGCTTGTGTAGTTCTATTGAAGCTTTATCAGAAACTTTAGCACTATCACCTCGCCTCTGACTAAACTTTTGAAATGGAAGAAATTTACTTGGACAACAACAACCCAGGACAACTTTGTCATACTTAAAGAAAAGGTGACTCAGGCCTCCGTGCTAGCACTACCTTCAACCAATTTTTCAAGGTAAAATGTGATGCCTTCTCGTGGGAATCAGAGCAATACTAAGCCAAGGAGGGAATCCCATCGCTTTCTTTAGTGAAAAATTGAACGAGTTCAGGAGGAAATACTCGATTTATGAAAAGGAATACCATGCCATCATAAGAGTTCTGGAACACTAGAGTCATTACCTATTGACAAACAGAGGAATACCACGCAGATGCACTTAGTCATTGATCACGGGCGCTAGTTGTTGCCTTCGAGATTATTAAAGATCTATTTATGAAACATTCGAAGATTTTGAGAACATATAAGAGCAATGTCAAGAAAAGCCAGTAGGGCAATATTACTGTACAAATGAATATCAGTTTCACCAAGGTCAGTTGTGCATTCCTTGGTGTTCAATAAGGGAAGCTATTGTTTAGGAAGGCCACAACAGTGGACTAATAGGTCATTTTGGCAAGGACAAGACTTTCGCACTCGTAAGAGAACATTTTTTATGGCCAAAGCTAACAAAAGATGTCAAAAAACATCTTAAACAATGCAAGATTTGTCATTTGACAAAGACTAGAGCTCAAAACGCAAGATTATACACACTTCCAGTATCGAGGCACCAATGGTGGATGTCGGCATGGATTTCGTGCTAGGACTTACAAGAACTCAAAGAAACAAGGATTCTGTAATGATTGTAGTAGACAAATTCTCCAAGATAGCCCACTTTGTGCCCTGTCACCGGACACTAGAAGTCTCTCATATCACCGATCTATACTTCAGGGAGATTTTAAAATTGCATGGGATTCCCAAAACTATCACCTTTGATAGAGAGTCAAATTTCCAAGCCACTTATGGAGGACACTATGCGGAAACCTTGGCACTAAACTTCAATTTAGCTTTACAGTACATCCACAAATAGACGGACAAACAGAGGTAGTAAACTGGAGCCTCGGTAATCTCCTGTGGTTTTTGTGGGGGAAAAAACATAAAACACTAAGATCTCATCCTATAGTCCAATTTGAATTTGCATATAACCGATTCATCAACCAAACTACAAGGAGAACTCCCTTCATGATTGTGTATAGGCGCAATCCGCACACTCCATTTAAATTGATATCGCCCCGCCATCTTTAGAAATTAGCAAGGATACCACAAAACAAGTACACGAGATCCAGACGCTCCACGAAGTTAGTAAGGAAATTGCTAAGAAGAATCGAAAATACCAGACACAGACAAATAAATCAAGGAAGAAAGTAACGTTTCAGAAAAGTGACCTCGTATGGATCCAGTTAAAAAAGTTGAGATTTCCTGCAGGATCATACGGTAAGCTTAAACTGAGAGCAGATGGACCTTTTAAAGTAATTAAAAAATTGAACAACAACACTTATAAGATCGATCTGCCTGAGAAATACAACATTTCAGTGATGTTCGGCATCGACGACTTGACACCATACTTTAAAGAGCATGGAGCTTTGATAAACGAGGTCGAAGCCTTTCCAACCCCGGGAGACTGACACAAGCACTTGTTCAGCGCCCGAATTAGGACGCAGAACAACGCCCCGAGCGGGGCACCTAAAAACAGCGGGGCTGAAGCCCCGCAACACCGCGCGAAACCGCGCTAAGCTTCGTGATATGCGGGAATCCTGCAAATGCACAGGTAGCGGGACGATTTGTTGCAGGATCTCAAAACAACAAGAGAATGATCGCAAATCTGTGCGCAGGAACAAGGCTAATCGCAATTCTTCACGATCCGGGGCTACTTCATGCACTTCATGCACCTTCCACACTTACCTTCCACACTTGTCTTCTTCTAGAAAGGCTTTTCTTCTGGATTCTTCTTACCTCCCCACTCTCCTTCCGATTGTGTAGAACTAGGAGGCTATAAATAGCTCCCGCCGGTGTGTGTAGGGCACAAGTTCTAGTAGAGTTGTCTTCTAGTCTTTTGTGTGGAGTCCCTTTCCTCTTGTTAGGGTTGTAATCGACGACAGGTGGTGCTTCGGCTGTATCCTGATTTTAGGTGTTGTAAACTCCTTCACTAATACTCACTAATCCCTTTTCCCTACCACTACACTAGCCACCTTCCACCCCCACATTCCTCCACTCTATCGCCACACCTACTTCCTCCACGATCTCGCCATCCAATCCACGTACAACCAACCACACACAATCACCTACCTACCTAACGGCCGCTCACCCCGCCGACGCCACTACCACCTTTGAGTCTCTTCCCATAGCTCTTGCTAGGGCTTCGTCTATTATTGCATTTTTCTTTTGTTGAGTCATGTTGTACCACTACTTTTATATTAATGAAAGTTTACTTTTTGTATTACACCACATCTCAACTAGTTCCGATATCAGTTAATATGAACTTCTCCCATATTTTGAATAAAAGTGAGAAGTTTTGAGGAGGGATATGCTGTCTTTTTTTATTATTTAGATGGATTGGTTAGTGTCGCATATTTATTATTTGATAAGCATGACCATGATTAGCAATGTATTAAATACGGTTCTGAAATGGCAGTTTTTTAGGAGTAGGTTTGGATGTGCTCCAGGTAATTGTTCTAGATTTGTTATGCTTTAACAGGGCAGTTTTTTTTTTTTTTTTGTCATTCATAGTGAAAATTCTATCATTTACTTTTAATCTATTTCTTGATGCATGCTAAAAGGACAAGAGGTGTACCAGTGAGGCTTCATGGTGTAGTTTATTCTTTATTGTCATCTGTAATATTTAACTTTCTTTCATATTTAATTAGCGGATTTGAGTTCTCTCATCCAATTTTTTAGTTGTTTGATTGTCCTGATACTTTAATGAAGTGCAAATTACTATATAGTTGTGTTATTTGCAGCATGTATCCAAATGGGTGAGTTCTGGCTTGCTTTTAGCAACTTGTAGTCTAAGAATAGTCTTTTTTTAAATGTAATCCTTATCTAATGTCTTTATTTTCTGATGTTTGGTCATATTTCAGGTTAGACGTAACTTGGGCCAGGCAAAAACAGTGCTGGAGGCTTTGATTAAGGTTCGTTAGGGTAAAAAGTTAAATTTCTATGAAGAAATTATGTTCGTGATTCTGATTCTGTTGTTATGAATAAGTTGAATATTATGAATTTCATTACAGAGAGAAGAAACCAAGCGACTACTTATGGAGAGTAACGTCAGTCTTCAGCGGATTCAGATGAAATATAAGGTACTTAGATCCAGTCTTTATCAATTTTCTCATTGTGCTGTGTCTTGAATCCAAATCAGCCTGGTTGACTACTGTCAACAGTTCATGCGGTTTTTATCATTGAATAGTTATCGCCTGATAAATTAAAAGGTTTGCCACAATGAATTAGCCAACTTTTTTCCAGAATTTTGCAATTGATCCTGTTCTTGTTTGTGCTCTTTCCAAAATGACATGAGAATTATGTTCTACACCACACATCTTGCCTAAGTTACTTTCCAAATAATTCTTTGTGCATTTGCACATGCAATTGTACGAAACCTTGGTATCTTATATTTTTTGAGCGATCATCTTGGTTTGGTACACTAAAGTTCACTTAGTATCACAGTTGGGTACCCTTTGCATGGAACATTGCATAAACACAAGATTTGGTCAGCCTCATAAAAGAAGGACAAAGATACATATGCATAAATAAGTAATGGAAAAAATTATCATCATTAGTTTTATTCAAAATATTTGATGGTTTTTTATTTGTCCATTCATTCATGTTGAGTGCTTTGTAAGATCTAAAACCTTTTTTGTGACTGTCATTTTGCAAAACTTCCATTCAAGTTACTTCAATTCCTTGTCTTTTATCTCCGAAATCGTTCCTCAATTGACGGTCCTTCCCCCCCCCCCCCCCCTCCCTTTTCCTGTACCTTATTTTATTTTGAAATTAACGCGTAGGGAGCCATCGCTGCTCTTCCCCCCCCACATATATAGATATATATATATACATACATATATATAGATATATATACATACATACATATATATATATACATATATATATACATACATATATATATATATATATACATATATACATACAGATATATAGATATAGATAGATAGATACATACAGATATATAGATATATATAGATAGATACATACATACATACACACATATATACATAGATATATACATACATACATACATATATACATAGATATATACATACATACATACATATATACATATATATATATATATATATATATATGTATATATACATACATACATATATACATATACACACACACACGCTGGTGTATTCATGATAAATGGTGTTTGGTTTGATGTTATTTCTCACATTGAGATAATTTGAGTGATATTATTAGTTAACCTTAAGCTAATGCAAGTAGCTGTCAAATTGTATGCATAAATTTATAACTTAAAAAAGGGAGTATAATAGATAAATTTTTATCTCTTTACTTATTCTAAATGATTATTTATATTTTAACTAGATGATATTAAGCCAAAACTATTTAATTGAAATTAAATAGTGTTATTTCAATAACAATGTTATCTAAATAATATTGGACCAAATACACCCTAAGATTAAAATGATATTAGGTACTTTAGGAGTGTGTACCATTTCAATTTATATAGAGAGAACATAATGGAGATAAAGGATTCATGTAGCCTAGCCCACTTAGTGGCATAAAGGCTTCTTGTTGTTGTATAGAGAAGACATAATGGGTTGCTGGAGAATGATGGATGAGAGGCAATAAGAAAGGGATGAGGATTGGCAGCGAAAGAAAACTAATGAAAGACAATGAGTGAGAGGGGGTGATGGGTAATGCATTAATGTTTAATATAGGTGTTTAGACGTTGAGAACTTCTCAAAGGAAGAGAGAATGATCAAGGTAAGAGGAAAACATATAATAGACATGGAAGGAGATGTCGGTAGGAAAAGCAACGAGACATAGTAACATTGGCAAATAAAGTATAACTAGAGAGGTTTGTGAGACACTTGGGCATTTTGATCATGAGATTGAAAGATTTAGTCAAATATGAGCTAACAGAAGAATATCAAAAATCCAAGAGGGCCTATAGATTTAAAGTGGATGTCTGCCTAAGAGAATAATTTTAAGTTCATCTTAGCTAACCAAAGATTTAATTCTCTATCAAGTACATCATAATCACCTCTTAGGGGGTTTAAGCCATTGAGGGATTCGCGGACTTGGTCATACTCCATAATTGTTAATGGCAAATAGTGCACCATAGCGCAAATTTCCCATCACAATGCTTAGCTAATGATGTTGCTCTTGCCATTTTAATCATGGCAAAAAATCAGAAAATTTTCCTTCATTAAAAATGTAAAGAATTATTAAAGAATATCAATTTGATAGAGAAACTATCATGATAATGAAAATAACAAAAGTGATGCTATCAACATCTCAACCTCTTGATGTTTCATCTTTAATTTGTCTCTATCATAAATGTCGTCATTGATGTCTATCAAAGTTTGTAATTAATTAATATTAACAATATTGTGCCATTAACTATTTTCTCATGGCTTATTGATTGGTTGTTTGTATGGGTTGTTTTTTGTTAATCTTTGCATTGACATGGCATGATTGCAACAAATATGTATCAAATATATAAGAAAATTTGATAGCTTTGCTATTTTTTTAGGTTTATGTGGATTTCAATTTTATGAGCTTTTTGCTTACTAAAAATTGTTAACTTTATTGATAGTGCGTTTTACATAAATCACACAGATAAAAGGTCAACAGTGGCTTTTTTTGGAATGAATTGTTGTGATTATCATATGTTGTTGGCCAATAGAAGATAAAAGTCATCTAGTATTCTAAAGAATGTAGTGGATGAACAAGTATTTTCTCTCTTATATGTTCTAGAGATCTCTCTTAATAGATATAAGACTTGTCAGTAGCATTAGCTTTATATATGTTACATGCATCAGAATTCTAAAGAATGTAGGGGATGAACAAGTATTTCCTCTCTTTTATGTTCTAGAGATCTATCCTAAAATAGATATAAGAATTGTCAGTAGCATTTGCTTTACATATATTACATGCATTGGCCGGCACATTCTAGTGATGCTACAAACTAACCATTTGGCCTACGACAGAGTGCGAAACAAAATGGGATCAGTGTGTCTTGTTTGAATTGTGGCGGCTGTTTTGTTCATTGTTGGATATTTCGATGTTGAAGGCAAGACATTTTGGAAAAATGTTGTGGTTTACAACTTGTTTTGTTTGAAGCCGAAGATGTTGAAGATGGAAGATTGAGATGTGAGAGGGGATGAAATGCTAATATATATATATATATATATATATATATATATATTTATATATATATATATATATATATATATATATATGTATATATATATAATATATATATAGATATATATATAAGTTATGATTTACAACTTGTTCTGTTCGAAGCCGGAGATGTTGAAGATGGAAGACTGAGATGCGAAAGGGGATGACGTGCTATGAAGAATATGGGTTGCATCTGACATCTTCAACATCTCCGGCTTTGAACAGATCAAGTTGTAAACCACTACTTATATATATATATATAATTTGTGGTTTACAATTTGTTCCGTTCGAAGTCAGAGATGTTGAAGATGGAAAGCTGAGATGCGATAGGGGATGACGTGCTATGAAGAAGATGGTTTGCATCTTGGAGTTGTAGATGGATTTAGGACTAGATGTATGCTTTTGTAAACTTTATTTAGGATAAAAAGAAAGCCCAAAAAGACTAATATATTAACCAGAAAGAAAGATACAGATACAATGTGTTGAAGGGCCCAAACACGGCACCCTGTCAACAAAACCACAAGAGTTTCTAAAACTAGAAAATACAGAAAAGTACATTAGAGACATAAAGAAAAAATCTAAAAATGTTGAAATACATAGTACAAGTGGCTATATAGCAACCCAGTTTGGTTTTTCCTCTGCCTCTGGTTCTAGGGAAGGAGCAAGCTAATAAGTTGATAAGATGATTGCCATTGTCAGTAGTAACCAATGTATCATCCAAAATGTTCCCGAGCTGGAGTCGGCCTCCATTCTTTTTCTTCCTCCTGGAATAGACCTGTCATTCCTCCTCCGAGGATTGGCTTACTTGATCTTGTTCTAAAGTGTGCTAGAGATGTGTAGATTGTTGAACTCAACTACATGTTGTATCGGCTGATCTATTGTTGGATCAAAAGAGCCCTCCCGTGTTTCTTGACATATATGTGAGTCTTCTTCAATAACAGTGGGTGGTATAAGCACAACTGGATCTGTAGTTGTAGTATGTTGTTCTTCTTTAGGAACTACGGTGTTGGGAAGAGGATCAGGTTGCATATTCTCAATAGGGATAATAGGTGGTTGTTCTTTAGCGATATTCAGCTATAGATGAGGATTATAGCGATATTCAGCTATAGATGAGGATGCAAGCGATAACAAATAGTAGAGTTGTGGCCAAACATACTACAATGAAAACAATAAGGAGGGTGTGATTCGATTTCAAACTTTTTTCAATACCCGTTGTGAGTGGTTCCAATCCACATCTCATTTGGAGCTGGTTGAGTGATATCCCTCTCAACTAACACACAAGCCACAAAGGGTTTAGTGACAGCAAGCGTAAGACTATCAATCTTGAGAGACTTATCGTAAGCAGTTGCTACGGAGTAGAGAATTTTCAAGTTGAATAGATGTAATTTTGGAATGATAGGGGACTCTTCTTTTGGGTCGAAACCAACAGTCCACTTCAGAATTTTCATATAACGGTTGTCGATCTTGATAACTTTCCGAGAAAAGATGCGAGTGTAATCGACATTATGAGACAACTGAATCAGTATGTGCCGACCGTCAAGTAAACCAATATTCCAACTGCCCAATAGCTTCATAGCCTCAAATTCTTTCCGAATGATCTCCAATTTTGGGTGACCATACAGAAATTTCCCCATTAGAGCAAAGCGTTAGGAGGATGCGAGAGTACTGGTTTCAACCACTGTGAGAATGAGAGTAGACTTCCCATTTTTTTTCCTAATTTTTATATGAAGGTGTGATCGCCGTCGTGAAAAGAATGAGGAACATTGCAGGACTTGTCAATATGAAAACCAGACTCTGACCCTGAAAGAGAAGCACGAGTAGAAATAGGAATGTCGCCGGCAAGTGCAATGGTATAAGAACGGATCATGGATTCCATCTCCAAAGCAGCTAGGGGAGCCGCTGGAAATAG